CGCAGTCAATGAGTAGAATTGAAGTGGACAGTTAGGATATTTTTAAATCAAAAAGGCTCAATTAATTCGCTACGGTCAACAAATGTTGCATTAAATGGCAAGCAGTTCACTATTAGACATACTTTTATGCTCACTATGGTTGATGGGAAAGTGTGTAATGTAGCAGCTGAAACACCAACGATGAAATGTTATGTATGTGGCGCAAGTTCAATGGATTTCAATAATCTTGGTGTTAAAATGGAAATTAACACAGATTCTCTTAAATTCGGATTTTCCATTTTTCATGCCAGGATTCGTATTTGCGAGACAATATTACATCTTTCTTACAAGTTGCCGATCACAAAATGGCGGTTAACTGGCAATGAAAAGCAAATCGTCAAAGAAAGAAAAGAACACATTCAAGAAAACTTCAGAAAAAATTAGAACTCCTTGTGGATTATTCGCCAGGCTTTGGATATTCGGATGGCAACACTAGTCTAAGATCCTTTGCTGATCCGGAAGCCACTGCTCATATATCAGGTTTGATTTTAATTTGATCTACCGTTTTAAAGTTACATTGGAGACACTAGCTAGTGGTTTTAAAATTGATACGGAAAAGTTTGAAACAGCGGAGACATTCGACTGTATCCATGATACGATGACTCCAATTCTGCATAAAATTTTAATCCACAGTTATAGAACATGCACTGCCACCAATAGGGCAGTTGTCAGGAGAAGCTATACAACATGGATGTACTGAATAGACTGCTGCTGAAATCGCAGGTAAACAACGTAATTATTATCATATGTGAAAGTAAATAAATATTCATTTAGGATTAATAAAAATTCCACGAAAAAAGTCAAGGGTTTGGACGACAGAAAAATTGCAAATGTTACTCTCAGAGGACTTCATGCAAGAAAGCGAAAATCGGCTGAAAAAATAAGAGATGAAAGAAATATATCGAACTGACGTTTCAAATGAACAAGAAAATGTCTTCTCAAATTCGGAAAGAGGTTTTTTTTTTCATTTGTCTTTTTACTTGTTTTTTTTTGTTTTTGAATTGTTAAATATGTTGTTTTTTGTAATACTCGGGGTAATATCATTACTCTCTTAAGGTGAAAGTTGATGGAATCCGAAAATTGGCCGCTATTTTGTTTATTTTGCCTTACCATTTCGAATTTTTGGCGCCTTGATTCCCAGAAACGACAAAGTTTCCGTGCATGAAATTGTAATGACATGTATGCTGCAGTTCAGCAAAAGAGTGATTACAATTTGGCACACGAAATCCTTTTAGTTTCTGAGATCTGTGTCGCCAAAAATTTGAGGTGGCAAGGCAAAATAAACAAAATAGCGGTCATTTGTGGATTCCATCGGTTTTCAACTTAAATCTCAAATTTTTATATAAATATCTTCAAAGTGTTTTTATGTTACTTCATACGCGAAGTTAGAGATTTTCAGAGTTGGTTGGAAATGCTAACATGAAGCTTTAGTGTGATAATTTATTAGCTAGAGAATGATCTTTATTTATTTATTTATTTATTTATTTATACAATACAAGAATAATAGCACAAGTAATCTACAAATGATTTTCAGAGTATATGCTACTATTACACTACCGATGTACCTATCAACCTAGCTGAAATAGTTGCTGCATAAGTTTTTGAATGTTGTCAAACTTCTTGCTGTCTTGCATTCCCTCGGTAGTTCATTCCATAATCGAATCGAACGATAACACATTGATTCACTTAAAAAATGTGTCGAGCATCTTGGAATAATTAAAACACTTGACCTAGAAGATTGCGAGTTAATAAAGAAGTTTCGAAGATATATCGGACTTTCGTTTAAAATTTTAAAAGTTTAAATACACATTCTAAGTTTCATGTAGTTGACGAAATCGTAGGCGAGTAATAAATTAGAAAAGTTAGAAATGTGATCGTATTTCCGCAGGTCGTAAACGTATCTGGTAACGGCATTAAATACCAAGTTTAATTTCTTTGTATTTGTCTTAGAAGTTAAACTAAAGAGAATATCCCCGTACAAAAATAACGGAATAATCAAGGATCTAGCAAGGTGAAGTCTGATATGTTGAGGCGTGGAGTGACGTAACAAAACTAGGGAGTAAAGCGTACAATAAACTTTGCTGCACACAGCATTGACTTGAGCATTAAAGTTGAGGTTACAATCCATTACAATACCAAGGTTTTTAATTGTGTCAGAATACATAATGATATCACCACCCATTTTAACTAATGAGATATCCTGAATACCAGTTCGTTTTTATCTAAAAATAATAGTTTGTGTTTTTACCCTATTCAAAATAAGACCATTAGTTTCTCACCATTTTAAAATATTTTCTATATCACTATTTAATAATGATATAGTTTCAGAAATATTATTCAATTTGCTAGAGATGTATAGTTGACAGTCATCTGTGTGAGGTGCACAATTGACTGAATGGATTACCATTCAGTCATAGTGCAATATCCATTGATGAACCCCTCGACGAGCTGTCAACTGGATGAACAGGATGAATCTATTCATCCTCTTTAATCTGACCACCCAACGACGCTTCAATCAGCAAGCATCTCGTTCATCCTCTTTCGTCGCAGTGCAGTTGAATAGGTAGGTTGTGCCTGCTCTCCAAAAGGGTTGGGTGATTCCGGTGGGATACGGTCCAAACCTCACAATGGCGATCCTGCCAGGTTTTAGCTACTATTCAGTGCTAAAATAAATTGAACCATTTCCATTAGAATCACCCAACGATTTGAGAGGGCTAAGAAGTGGAAATTGAAGTGTTATTTAAAAGAAAGGCTAGTCGTAAAGTCCAACGTGTATATTCGTCAAATTTTCGTCTGGTCTATGAGAAAGTGTGAAGCGCGAACCGCGAACCGCGAGTGGAATGGAATGATACCAACAAAAAAAAAGTGTGCATTGTCAATGTTCCTGATAAGACATTTTGTTTTGCTTTGACGCGTTTGTTTTTTTTTTCTTCGTTACGTTGCCTTTCAAAAGTGACAATAGTTTCCTGCAGTGTAATATCACAAACGAAGTGACAGACGGAGCGGCTCGAAATTTGATTTGACGCACTTACATTTACAATTTTCGAGTGTACCTCACGGCAACACTATCTACTCATATGTACTAGATTAAACTAGGGGGTACCGCCTGTTATCTCTTTTTCTCTAACGAAAATTGAAAGGGAGAGCCTGTTGTCAAACAGCATGTCATTATATCGCTTCTTTTGTATAATGAAAGACCATAGGCCAAAATGATTAGGGATGAACACATCGGGTTAACATTTGCTTACAAGTAAACGATGTTGAGCTGTCAATGACTCGCGCTTGTTGCAACTGTTGCTACAGATTTCTTCAGTCCGTGCTAGAAGCCTAAGTCACAGTCATTCGCAACCGAGAAGACATATACATCGTTGTTAGACGCCAAACAGAACCCGGCCATACTCGGTATGCTGGTATACATTCACTCCTCCGTAGCGGAACTGGAAGGATCCACCCAAGCTGCCGGATATCAGTTTTGTCTGCTCCAGCTTCTTCTTATTATTCTGCAGAACCAGACAGTGCGAGTACTGGTCGTGTTTGCCAAACCAACCGGTGGAATACTAATCAGAAAGCCGATTTCTTAGGCACGTTGCATTTGTCGCAGTAGATCGTCACTTGCCGCTGCACTTTCATGGAGCGGATTACAATCGCCGTGGCAGTAGTTTCGTCGTACAGATCGATCACTGGATCGATATCAACCCGATAGGTATGGCCGGCATGCTTCGCGTAGTGACGCTCGCTCATGTCACGGGGAATCCTTTCCGAACAGGTGGCGCATTGAAACTTCTGTAAGAATCGATCCGGACATAGGATTTGATGTCACGCTTTTGTCTCTTGCTGCCTCGACTGCTCAGCCTCTTCTTATTCATCATTCAAAACATTTTCCGGTACGGGTGCGGGTAGTGGATGTCCCTGTCGAATTGGTTGATTAGACGAGATCATCGTCATCGACAAGTACCAGTTATCAAACTTTCCAGTTATCATGCAGATGGAGCTTTCAACGAAGTAATCTCTTCCACCTATGCAGCACAAGCTCGGTTAACAAGCTGCGGCAAGTTTTTACGTCGATGCAAATGGGAAATTGGAATTCAATCTGAAATTGAAAACCAACCCTAATAAAATTGTTATGGTTATTTTGCTTAACGACGTGTTCGGGGTATCATCCAAACCATTTGTTGAATAGTTTTATTATTTGGGTTTTCGTTCATGTATGGTAGTTTTTTATTAGGGAAACAGTAAAAAAAGTTGTTGAATATTACAGCAGCTAAGCTGCACATAACATATACACATTAATCCAGTCAGTAATGTTTTACTGGGTTTTTGAATTGCGGACTGTTCGAAAAAAGTTTAAAACGCTGCAGGAAATTCAAAAATATGAAACTTTTTCTGAACTTGTACAGATAAAGTTCTGTTAATCTAATTTCTTTTTTTTTTTCCTTTGATTTGTTTTTCGTCGATCTGGTTTTCCGTACTGAGCACCAATGCTACCGATGCCAGCACTGATAAAAATCCCCTTATACCTTTTGGCAAATTTCCATTGCTGATTATTCATAAAATGTATAAGGCTACCACCTACCAATTTGTTCCGAACGGCCGGAAGACCAAGCTGAGGCATGCGATGCTCACTATGCCCCACTTGTTCACTATGCCCCTCTTACCCCTACCATAAAATCACAACGAAAATCATGGTATATGAGAAATGTACAATAAAAAAGGGGGCTTGTTAGGCTAAGCATCTTAACAATAAAAATATTGATTGTTGTCGAACAAATTTGATCTCATCAAATTAATTTTCATTGATAATTGTATCGTTAAAAACGAAATTTATTGTTTCTCCTTTCCAATAATTTAATAATAAATTTGTAATGTGCCCAAAATTCAACCGTAAAATTCATTGTAATTTCGTTATTTTATTATAATTTTTTTTTTGCGGCCATCCTCGGTATGCATTCGTTACTCCGTAGCGGAACCGGAAGCTCTCGACGAGGGCGATCTAAAGGAGGAGAATTTACTCCGAAATCATGCCGAGATCCATCGAATCAAAGAGGCGATCGACGTGCTGGAGGTGAGAATGAAGGAGGATTGGATGAAACTTATTTTTTTTTTTTTAATTTATTACGGCTAGAGATGCTGTATGTCAAGCGTTTGAGCATGATTGCGGTACGATGCACTATTCTGGACTGGTCTACTATACGTGGCAAAACTAGTCATTATACCTGCTACGTGTACCTTGTTACCTGAAGACGAGGAGGGAATCTTCGGATTCATGGAGGAGGACATCAGAAATGAGGAAGCTCGTATGCGAGGACAAAAGTGTTACATCTGCAAGGGTTGATGCATATATTATGTCACGCTCTAGGGGGGGGGGTCTAAGATTTTGTGACAAGCAATGCATTAGGTATTGGAAAAACTTCACGATAGGGGGGGGGGGAGGTAAATTTCTCTTCGATTTAGCGTGACATAATTAATGCATGGGCCCCAAGGAACGGTATGCGAACGTTTTGTGTTGCACGAAGAAGTGCTTCCGTTCATTTCAGACGCTTTGTGGGATGCAGAATGAGTGCCTGTCGCATTACGTGGATACGTTCCAGTCGTGGTGCGATAAGCACGTAGCGCTGGTGGGTAAGGTGAAATAATCCGGGACCGAAGCCTGTGGGATTTGCTACGATGAGATGGGACCGTACAGGAAACTGGAATCGATTCGTGCTGTCAGAATGTCTGGTTCCATCGGAGCTGCATGGCACAGTTTGCCCAATCGGCGGGGTACTTTTTCAAGTGCCCTTTGTGCAACAACAAGGACGACTTTAGTCAGCAGATGCAGCAGCGTGGCATTTATATTCCACTGCCACGAGGAACTTCCGTCGAAAACTTCGAGGAACTTCCGTCGAAAAATTGCTTCGAGCCAAACCGGTCGTATCAAATCGTTGACTTCTTCGGACAATGAAGACGAAGCATCCTCCGCCGGATCGTCGACCGTGTTCGATTTCAACTATCGTGTGAATTTAACCAAAAAAGCAGTGCCGAAAATCGATGGTAGAATTGCAGTCGATCTAAGAGTTCATCCGTTCCGACACGGACACGCTAACGAATGCCTCGGTGGGACATGAGATCGTGCGTCCCAAGACGCCTGCCAGAAATCTTTTGAAAAACTGTTCAAATTGTAGCTTTTCGGGTCGAAAACCGTCCCACGAAAACGGTCCACCAGCGAGTCTGATCCGGAGTACGTTACAGCGAAGAAAATTAGGTTGATTTAATTTTAATGGTGACCTTCCTTAGACGGTGAATTTTCCAGCACTAGTCAGGTCTTTCACACGGCGCAGTGGATTACTGCCAACGGTGCCACCTCAAGTGGGAATGCGATTCGAAACCGGGTTGACGTTGATGCTCAAAAGTGAGAAAATGTTCCGGATTTCACTACCCACATTAAGCGAATGTCAGCTGGTATTGGCGTTGACGGCACTGTCGAAAAATTTGCTCTTCCAGCAAATGTAGACAGTTTCTTATGGGAATTTTCGATGGAGTGAAAGGATAGTACGAAGTCCGCAGTGTTTCACGCACAGTCTGACGTTTGCTTATGGATTTTCTCATAGGAGTAAAGAGCTACAGAGTCACCGTCAACGCCAATCACGCTGCTTTCAGGTACTGAGGGAGAACCTTCCAAAACTTCTAGTGTTTGGACTGGTGGAGATTGCTTAAGTATGATCCCGATGAAAACATTTTGCGTACACGTATACGTGACGTAGTGTGCGTAAGATAAACGTCAGCAATCTCTATGACACAAAGAATGCACCTGAAACCGACGGAGTATCGCAAGTGCTGTGGTGAGGCAGAAGGAAACAAGTTAGCACTTTCATTATCACGACGTTCTTATGCATAATCTAGTGTGACGTAACGTTGGATCATGCGTAAGAACACCGTGAGAACGAAAGAGTTGTCAACATTCCTTCTGCCACACCTACAGTAACGCACACGGTTCCCGCGCTGATTGTTCCTTACTTTCTCACTCTAATCAAAATTTCCTTCGCTGAGTGAGAAAACAGCACCACGTCAACGCGAGCGAGAAGGAGGGTTGCCAGATCATTGCACACAAAACCAACTTGAATTAATTCAAAGCAAAAATACTAGCGAACCTGGCGGTGAGGGGCGGAAGGTGGACTAAAATTCTATTACAGAGAACCACATTATTTAAATTAATTTCTTCGGAGAAAGTCGTCTGTCACTTCGTTTGTGGTAATATGATTGCCGTGTTATCTTAGTATAATCATTTTTGCTGCAATCATAACAGGTATCAAACCTGTGGTGGGACGCCCGTGGAAAAAGTGGTTCAAGACGGCTAAGTCATGTAATCATTGCCACGGTGTGGGACGCCCGGTGGAATGATTATTCAGTGATTGGACGACAACGAAGAAAAATCTTCCGCGGAGTGGGACGCCTGAAGGAAGATAAGTATGTCACGAAGTGGGACGCTCGTTGGTGAACAGTGGTGTCAGATGCCTACTACAAGACTATCTTTGCCATGGTGTGGGACGCCCGGTGGAAAGATTACTGCAAACCTTTAGTGACGAAGTGGGAGGCTCGTAAGAAGGTCTGTGAATTTGTTTTTCCACAAGTTGGAACGCCCGTTGGAAAGCTACTTCCGGAAGTAGTAAAGGATTTTTTTAAATATACGTTCTACCGGAACACCCACTCGAAGAAGGCAGATCTTGTGGATCACCAGGTTATTTAGCGTGGCGGGACACCCGCTCAGAAAAGGCAAGTCGTGAGGATTGCCTGAGTGTGGTGGAACACCCACTCGAAGAAGGCGGATCTTGAGGATCTCCAGGTTATTGAGCATGGCGGGACACATGCTCAGAAAAGGCAAGTCGTGATGATTGCCTGAGTGTGGCAGAACACCCACTCAAAGAAGGCGGATCTTGGGAATCGCCAAGTTATTGAGCGTGACGGGACACCCGCTCAGGAAAGGCATGTCTTAAGGATTTCCCGAGTGTTGTGGGTCACCCACTCGAAAGGGCGGATCTTCAGGAATAAAATCGCTCAGGAATAGATGGTCGATCATAGAATGACGCGGGAGAATCTCGAAGAGACGTATCTGAGTATGTTGAGTCACTCGATCATGAGTGCCTTAGTTTGAGGATTACTAGAAGGTAAAAAGGTGATTCGTGATGATAGCTAGAAAATTATAATTTAATTGATTACCCTTTCTGACAGTTGAACGTAGTTAGAAGTGAGACACCGATTCTGAAGAGAAGAATGAATCGATTAAAAGGATCAGAAAGTTGAGGGTTCGATCATTGTACATTTACTGAGATCCAGAATATTGGATCAGAATACCGAATAGATTCATACGGGACATGAAATTCACTGATCAGATCTCTTGAAGCTAAGCCGGATGCGGCGGTTTCGATTCCCGTTCCGGTCGAGGGAATATTTTGGGTCGGAAATTTACTCAACTTCCCTGGGCATAGAGTATCATTGTGCTTGCCATACAATATATAAATTCATGCATTGATATTGGCATCGAATGCTCTCAATTAATAAATGTGGAAGTGCATTTAGAACACTAAGTTGAGAGCACGCAGTAAACTAATATGCGCTAAGCAATTAGCTTGAAATGTGAATAAGAAGAAGAACAAGAATCTCATGAAGCTTTTGCTGACTTCGTGGCTACAGTATTTGTCAGTATTTGTGCAGCAAATGCTAAAGTCATCAATATTTTCTTTTTGATGGAGTTATTCCTATAAAGGAGTTTTATTGCAAAAAAAGACCCAGATTTTATCCACCGATTCTGTTTTAACTTTATATTTGTTAAGACGAGGGAATAGGACAATTTGTTGCAATAAATCGATTGGAATTTCTCTGAATAAATTTGAAGCCATCCGGTAGCAGTAACTACTCCAGTGAACAGATTTATTCAAATATCGTTTTAATGAAAGATATACTTCACTTCTTTGGATGTATTATATTTCAAAAACAGATTTGGCACTTCTGCAATGGCATGCATGAATTTTGAGGAGAGTTTGAATTTAAGGCAATGAAGATTAGAAAGCAAGTTATAAAAACTGACAAGAATGCAAAATTCTCAGAAGTCTTGATGTTTGATTACTAGAAATCATTTCCAAAAGTTCAGATTAAAAAAAAAATTGAGCACGTTTCTTCGGGACCTTCTGGTCTTATAGTTACCTCTATGGTAGCATTATGGTTTGCCACTTGTCATCCGCAGTTAGATTTCCATTTTTTTTTTGGGACTTTTACTAAGACGCTATGAATCCAGTTGGCTGAAAAAGTTGCGGTGCATCAGATATTAAAGAAAAAATGAACTTTGTGCAGGTATCATGGGGTCAACATCACAGACCATATAGGCTGCTGAAATGGACTGATATTATTTAAAGAAAAACAAGCACCCTAAAGCTATGAGCACCAGCGATTTTTTTTCTCGTTTTTCTTGAGAGAAGGAGTGGGATGTGAGGTGCACAATTGACTGAATGGATTACCATTCAGTCATAGTGCAATATCCATTGATGAACCCCTCGACGAGCTGTCAACTGGATGAACAGGATGAATCTATTCATCCTCTTTAATCTGACCACCCAACGACGCTTCAATCAGCAAGCATCTCGTTCATCCTCTTTCGTCGCAGTGCAGTTGAATAGGTAGGTTGTGCCTGCTCTCCAAGAGGGTTGGGTGATTCCGGTGGGATACGGTCCAAACCTCACAATCTGCATATAAGTGAAATTTACAATTTGATAAAACGTTGGGCATATCATTGATGAACATAGAAAAAATTAGGGGTCCCAAGATGGATCCCTGAGGAACCCCACTCAGAACATGCACTTAATTGGATTGCATGTTATTAAATTCAACATACTGTGATCGGCCAGCCAAATATGATTCAATTAAATTCACTGAGGAATTACCAATTTTAAAACAACTAGTGAGTTTTTGGCAGCGTTTCCGATGATCAAATGAATCAAAAGCTTTGCTGAAATCTAAGAGCGCCATCATGGTTAACATTTTGTTATCAAGAGCATTTCTTAAATCGTCTTCAATTTTTATAAGAGCTGTAATCGTGCTGCAGTTCTTACGATAACCAGATTGTAAAGAACATAGCAGATTATGATTTTTAAGATATTCGTTTAATTGTTTGGATAGAATTGATTCAAAAATTTTCGACAGAGCACAAAGTATGCAAATAGTGATAATCCTTTTCTGTAGTTGGATTGTCAATCTTACCATGTAACCAACGGGTTACAACTCGTTCTTGGATAGTCCCGAAGCTAAATGATTTGTTTGTATTCAAAACTTTCAATCAACATTCCATCTTTACCAAAATGAGTCCCATGGTTGTTCATCCATTGCGCGTAATTTCGCTGTCAGGCGTTAGGGCGCGTTTCCAATCGCTAGAAACGTAGCTTTGTTAGAAATGGATGAGAAGCTATGGAAGGGGAGTGATCTCACTAGGAAATAGGTGCAGTAAAAATAATATATAAATAAAACCAGGGCACAACCTATCTATGATAAACATTGTTTTTCCTAAAATGACATTGAAATCATTGAAATGGTATTAAAACCCAACAGAAATTAAATGAATTGATAAATATCAAAGATAGCAGTGTATGCTACAACTAAACGTATTTTA